CAAGACCCAGGCCACGTTCCCGTCGCAACCCGCCTACCAGGCCGCCGCCTCCGCCCCGCAGCCCGCCTACCAGCAATACCAGCCGGCCGCCTCTGCGCCGCAGCCAGCCTACCAAGCTGCCCCCTCTGCCCCGCAACCCGCCTACCAGCAGTACCAGCCTGCTGCCTCCGCTCCACAGCCCGCCTACCAGGCTGCACCTAACGCATACAACCCAGCCTCTGCTTTCCCCAAGCAGCGTGCCTACAGACGAGTAAACCGATCCCCCAACAGGCGTCAATTTAGAAACTACTAAAGGCGGATTGTAAAGTTGCTTGGCTGAGCTGAAGAATTACAGAATGGCCAAGGCTTTTGGTTCAAGCGGATTCCTTCTTTGCTTATTTACCGGAGTTCTTTTGAACCAAGAGCTTTGTCTTTCTAGCGAGTCCTATCGGAGACATAGTGATTTTTTTTAGCAATCCAAGCAATTACGTATAGGTTTTATTGTAAATCGAGAATTCTTCGGCCATACGACGTCATCTCAATATGTTCGCATGAATGGTCAATTGGGCTGTTAATCATTTGGTTTTGAAGTTGCAAGATCTCTGACTCTAACCTGTTGTTCATGTAAATGAATATTGTTACCATTATCAACCTCGAATTAAGGATATTAGTTTTTAAAAAATTGCACACTTAAAACCCTTTTATTTTTAGCCCAATTTAGCTTTCCGTGCAAACTCTAACTAGGCAAATTAAGTGCTGATCTTGACTGGTCGATTCTAGTAATTGAGAAGAAATTGTTGAACATCCAGAGTAAATAACCAAGTTGAGCTGGAGCCAATGTCACACTAACCCTGTAAATTGGCTCTGAAAAACAGACTATAAACACAACTCTCTGTGGGATATAAAACCAATGAGCCCTTGAGCTTTCAAAAGCCACAATGATCTCCTGGCCATAAATAATATCTACGCCTCAAAAACCGGTGCCTCTTCTAGAAATTTTGTTTTGTTTTCTTTTTCCATAACTTTCGAATTGGTGGAGAAGTTTATCTACTACTTGAAAGACGAACCAGAGAGCGCAGAAAAATTTCTAGACTTGTCACTGGTTCTGATGCTTAACTTCAGTACATTCTGGAGCAAGCTGTGATTTGTGAGATCTCTCCCGTTAGGGAGAAAAATTGTCATTTTTTCAGGTTTCCTTTTCATAAAAGAAAATCTGAGATTAAGGAGCAATTAACCATGTACATTTCTTGTTTATATTTTTTCTATCTGCTTGTAACTGTATCCGATACTTAAAACTCGAAGAAGCAAAGCAACCAATCAAACTAGATGTGTCTTTTTTTTCTAGTCTGTTCTACCTTTCCAGCCGTAAGCCTGGATAAGAGTGCAATTTTTCTCGAGGCGGGGTGGACCCCGCCTTGGATTTTCAAACGATTAATAAATTTTGAATGAATCCTATGTGGTTTTATTTTTTAAAGCCAATGAACCCTTACAAAGTATATTTTTGGAGCCATTCTCACATTTTGCGCCGAGTTAGTAATGTTGCACTCACGCCAGTAAGTACAGAAAGAGATTGAGCTTCAAATAGTCTGAAGCTGACTTCTGGAATACTACTCCCTATCCACATCGTATTTTTCACAGAGCAGTTGGTTTTTAACCAAAAAGTATTATTGATGAAACATAACATCAAAATCGTTATCTGATTTACAAGGCATTTGAAATATTCTACTCACTCGAATAGTTTAAAAGAATATTCACAATCCCTAAATGTTTTCTGATAAATACGAACTAAACTTTAGTTAAAAATTAGTCCAACACTTTTAATCAACAACCTAAACGTAGTGTATGAGTAAAAAATAGTGGTTTGACACACTTTTGTGTCCCAGACACAGAGGTGGTAAGTTAGCCACGATGCGTTAAATGTAGCATGAAACCAATCATGCCCATATTTGCAGGAAAAATCGGTCGCACAATCATGTGATGAAAAGGAATACAAAAAAAAAAAAAAAAAAAAAAAAAAA